TATATATATAACTCGGCTCTCGAATTGAGTTATTTATTATAAAAAGAGAGAACAGCAAATAAAATGAGAAGATGTAAAGAAGAAATAATAAAAAAAATTGAAAGAAATAAAAAGAGGAATAGCTTTTAAATATTTTTGATAAATTTGTGCTTAAGCTTTAAATTTTAATATTTTTTAAAGTATGCTTCATATTAATATTTGTTTTAAAAGAACATATTCGTTGACTTCTAACTAGCTCAAATTTAAATTGTTTGCTTATACCTTAATTTATGAGAGATCTTAGCTCAATTAAATCCTTACTTAAAGCTCTCAAAATTGATATTCTATGTGTATACAAGGAAAGTGTCAGCACGAATCTCGATGAGATCTGATGGTAAAGATCAAACAAGACATATCAAAGGAAGGTCCGCCGATAGGAGATCCAGAAGTTCCATTGTCTGATCAAAACTATGAAGTAAAGGCCAACTAAGACAATCGAATGGTTTGGACCTGAGTGATTTGACCGAAAGAGAGGCACATAGGGGTCCAAGTCATTTCCTATGATGGAACCTGCCAAGAGAAAAGCTAACACTTCGTGTCCTGCAGTTTTATCGAATACCTCAAGCAACCTCTCTGAACATCATCAAGTGTTTATAAGATAGATCTTAAACACCCATCGGGTTCTCTTCCTCTAAGTGCGGCTACATATTAGATTACAATGATTTAACTACTTTCTATTTGATAGTCTAGCTTTGCTCTACCGATCGAGTTCATCGTCAGGGATGAATTGATCAACTGATCGACACAACTTAGTTGATCAAGTCAATCTTGCCGGCATATTAGCAGTAAAAGGTTAGCTAAATGACAACATCAAATATAGCCGACCAACAACCTCTAATGAACCTAGCAGACCGGCGCGCCTCACTAGCCTAGAAAACCAACAGTATTTACTAAGCGTGACCGACCGACAAAAGGCATGCCCGTCCAGCCAACTCAACACTAAATGAGGTTCTAGGCCCACATATGTAAGATACCCATAATAACATGTACAACCCTCACTAAAGTAGGGGCATGCACGACATATTGTATCTATTTTTTCTATAAACAAAAGATCATTCTATAAATAAAAGATCATACGCTTCTCTCAAATTATTGTTTATTAATATAAGTAGGTGCTTAAGCATAAGGTCAAAAGTTGAAAATTTAAAAGAAAGGACATTACCACACATGCCACACAATTTTGATATATTTATATGTTTAACATCTAAATTTTGATATTTACACGTGCATGTCACTCAAATCTTTAACATCATATAAGAAATACTACTATTAATACACATTTTCATCCATAGATTTAAAAGCTTGATATGTAATACATAAGAATTATGTGAAGGTACATAAATTTCCCTAAAAATTTAGAGAGAGCTCAATCTTTATGAAATATTTCTCATGTTATATATAT